CTCCATCAGCACCTGGTCCATGAGGCGCTGAAACGTTGCTGGTGCCCCCTGTAGGCCAAAGGGCATCACCTTGAACTGGAAAACCCCAAAAGGTGTTTTAAAAGCAGTCAACTCTTTCGCCTCTGATGCCAGGGCCAGTTGCCAGTAGCCCTTGCTGAGGTCAAGTGTGGTGATAAAATTGCACCTCCCAACTCTCTCCAAAAGTTCATCAATGCGAGGCATTGGGTAGGGGTCAAACTTAGAGACACTATTGAGGTATCTAAAATCAATACAAAATCTTAAAGTGCCATCCTTTTTTGGTACTAGCACGACTGGACTGCACCATTCACTCACAGAGGGCTCAATGATCCCCAGCTCCAACATGAACTGCACCTCATTCTTGAGTTGTGGGACAAGACGTTCTGGAACCCTGTAGAACTTCCTGCGCGGTGCAGCGTCATCTCTGAGGTGAACCTTGTGCTGTATCAGGCTTGTGAACCCAGGTTTTTCCTGAAACAGCTCTGGATCCAAAAGGGGCTTTATGTCCTGCTGCTGAGAATGCTGGAGATGAGAGACAGAAATAGAAACCGGTACAGAGCTACAGGCTGGAAGAAATAGCTCATCTTCCTCTTCATCATCCACCACACACACAAAGAGGTGGGGCAAAACAGTCTCTGCATGCTCCTCACTCTGCAATGGATCCTGTTGAGATGACTGTGAAGCAGATGACATATTAAACTGTTGTGGAGACCTGTGGTATTGTTTCAGAAGATTAACATGGAAGGTTTGATGTTTCTTCTTCCTTTCAGGCATATACAGTTCATAATTAAGCTTCCCGACACGTCGCGTGACCTCATACGGGCCCTGCCATTTAGCAAGAAGCTTATTATCACTAGTGGGGAGCAACAACAACACTTGCTGTCCAGGATGCAAGCTCCTCTCCCTGGCATTTTTATCATACCAGGTTTTCTGTTTAGTCTGAGCTGCTTTCATGTGCTGATGTGCCAATACAGCCATTTGCTCCAGTTTCTCTCTCATTTTTATCACATAGGACACCACATGCTCACCCGATGGACTTGGGCTCTCCCATTGTTCTTTAAGAAGATCCAACGGTCCCCTCACCTGTCGTCCGTACAGCAACTCGAATGGAGAGAATCCTGTTGATGCTTGTGGAACTTCTCTATATGCAAAAAGC